TGCCTCCCTCCTCCCCGCTAGCACTGCCTCCACGCCGGCACGCCGGCCGGCCAGCGGACTATGAAAGCAGCCATTGGTGAGCTCTACAAACGGAAGAGCTAGCTTCAAAAGTAGAATAACAGACAGACTTTCAGTTAAAACTGATCTGGAACCGCTAGATGAGCAGTGCACAGGGCAAACCTTCGCAGGTGAAAAAATTGGACAGGCAGTGTAAATAAAATGGCTACCAAATGACTACCAAGCATTCGGGTCAAGTAACGTAATCAAAGATCTTTTTGTTCTTTTCAATATTATCACAAAATCGGTTTTGCGCGTTTTTTACTCAGAAATTAACTCTTTCGATTTTTTCATTTCCATTCATCAGCAGAGAGAGCGAAAGCTCTCAGAAATAATGGGTGTCAAGTACTTTTTATTACAGAAGAGACTAATCCTTCTTCAACCATTGCTCCTCTGCCTTATCAAAAAAGCACTTATCACTTGGCAACCGCTAGCGGCAGCCTCTAACAGACACTACGTCCCCAACTACGGCTTGCTGAACATACTACCCGACTGCTGTTCATCATTCATTGTCAACTGCCAGTTTCATTAGTTCTTCTATTTCACCATGCAATGAGGCAATATTAGTCTCGATATTCTGCGATGGTACTTCTACTGCTACTGTTCTTCGGTACAACCACGGCTCATGATCTTTCATGCGCAGCACATTTCCCTTTAAGGGAATCTGTAGAAATACTCAAAAAATTGGTGGAACAATATGCAATTCCGAGCAGGAGGACTGATGCTAGTGGTGCTAAGTGGTTGAATTACTTGTTTGTGAGAAACAATGGTCTCGAGGTGAGCTCCACTTTCTCTAAGCTAGTTCCCAAGGGAGCTATGATCCCTTCATTATTCAAAATTTCCATTCGAGAGAAACCGCTCTTTTGTACTGTACCTTAACCGAATTAGTGGCCTGCTTGAGTGAATCGAAGTACTTTTCTTATTTCCAATATTTTTCTTGATCATAATGGTTTTTTCCTCAACAAACACACCTGAAAGAACCGTTCCAACTAACACATTGCCCTTTTTTGGTATTTATTCATCATCACATCTTTTCCGATTCAAGAGCTCTACTTGTGCTTATTTTCAGTTCATTGACCTTCTTACAATTACTTATAAGGTTCCCATCAGCTGAGCCCATTTTTGATCACATTTTATTCTGCTCACGGAAGGACATACCCTAAAGGAAATCTCAGGGGGTGAAGGAGAAGGAAAAGATGTTTTGGGTTCGTAGAGGGGAGGG